AGGCGTGAGCCACCGCGCCCGGCCCCAAATGGTTTCTTGTTTACCTGTGGTCCACATTTGGGTAAAAGCTACCAAGAGCACGTTACATGAAAACAACTTAAGGTAAACACATAGGTTACGTAGGCACCGAAGGGAATTTCATGCTCATCAGTGTTTTATCATCTTTCAATAACATCCTCACTCTTAAATTTGTGGTCATATTTTCCTTAGTTTCAGCATCTTTGCGTTAACAGTACCTTTCCTTTCAAGAACTAAATTTGGGAGGCAGGATACAAGAATGAGTCTAAGAGGGAAAGCTCTGGCGTCAGAAGACCTAGGTTTAAATGCCAACTCTGTCACTGGGCAACTTGCCAAGTGCCCCTTGCAGGCCACAGTGCCCCTACCTAGAGCCGGGCTGTGGCACCTGCACCTTCTGGGGGAAGGGAGGATAAGTGAAGCCAGCCATTTGAAGTGCGGATGCTGTGCCCTGCATGTGGACAGTGTTCACAGCAGCAGCTACTGTCATGACGGTAATGTCACTGGTATGCAGGAAATGTCTAGACATGTGACGCTATGTTCATTAAAGGGAAAGGCTAACAGGAATAGAAAAAGCACCTTATGTTTGTTTTTACTATATAAAAACAGCGCTAGCTATTTAAATGTTTGAATGACCCTCCCACACATGCACGAGTTTTCTGCAACTGTGAAGCCTGCTGTGGATGCATTTATGAAAAAGCTCAGGTATGTTCCGTCCTTAGCAGTTTCCAACCTATGCGTGCTGTAAGGCAAAGTAGTTAGAAGACACACTCCACACCTGGAGTTTGAGGCTGCCTACTGGGAGTTGTACTGAGGTGACATTCGAGCCCTGGATGGACACCGGGAGCAGCAGCTGAGCAGTTTGTGTGGTCAGTAAAGCCTGGGGCTGAGCGACAACGGCAGGTGGTGGCTGTCCCTGGGAACTCACGTAAAACTGTGAGACGACGCTCTGCTGCTCCGCCTGGGCCACGGGGACCTCTTGCTTGATAACTACGGCCTTTTTGGCAACAAGGGTCTGGCCACCTGTAGAGACAGGCTGGGCTACAGGGTGGCTGGCCCCCGGGACAGGCTGCCTGGAGCTAGAGCAGTCAGGGAGCGAGAGCGAGGTCTCGTCTTTGACGCAGGAACCGACGCTGCCATGTTTCTGATCTGCCTTGTTGACAGAATGCGCTGGGGCGCTGGGCTGGGGTTCCAGCGGCCGTTGCTGCTGCCCTCGTTTTTCAACCTCGAGCTGCATTTTCAGAACTTCCACAAGCTTCTGCTCTTGTTCCAGTTTCCTCTTTAGCTCTTCGATCTGCTTCTCTTTCTCCTGGAGCTTGCGGTCCTTCTCAGCCGCGTCCAGTTCCAGGTTTGACAGGGTGCTGCTGGTGGGGCTCAGGCTGTCCTCGTTGTTTGCCACTCTCAAAGGAGAGGAACACAGGAACTGTGAAGGAGACATCATGGTCATAATCTCGGTGAAAGTGTCCGCCATGCTCGTGTCGTCGGTGCTGAGGCTGGACTGTTCGGAGGGAGCCGGCGAGACTGGCAGAGGGGAGTGAGCATTTTCCACCCGGGCAACGGTGCTGGTTCCGACAGATGGCAATTCTGTCTTGAAGGTGGAGACTGAGCTAGTCACGGCGTTATGTAGTGTTGTGACCGGCAGTGCCACGGTCACTTCTGGGTTATTGGTGACGATGGCTGACGATGACACTGCCACGATGCTGCCAGCAGCAAGGCTGCTGCTGTTCACTTCCTGGTAGGGTTTCAGGCGTTCAATGAGGTCCGGTTTGGTGCCCGATACCGGCAGACCCCTTAACTTCAGTTCTGTTTTCAGTTCTGATACCTGGAGGTACAAACAAAGCAGATCTGTTGGTATTGTAACTTTCTGACAACTTTGTGGTACACTTCTGTGATGGGAAAGGTACCCACGTCTGCCAGACGACTCCACGTTACTGCGTATCTGAAAGTGGGACCGTTTTTCTTTTGACACAAACACATACAATTACACACCTGAAGCACTGGGAAGGCCAGTGATAACGTAAGGGTTTTTAGAGGGCAACTCCTCTTTTACATCAAAGAAAAGACATACTACCCGGAATGATGATGACGATAACAGCTACATTTACTGATTAGCTGCCATGTGCAAGACACTGTTAGAAGCGCTTTATTCTTTCAGCTAGTCTTCACATGACCCCATGAGGGGTCAGTATCATTCTTCTTCCCATTTGACAGATGAGGAGATCAAGGCAGACAGGTTGAAGCACTCGTCCAAACTACCACAGACAACAGAAGGCTGAGCTGGGACAGAAACCCAGGAAGGGTGGCCCTGGAGCTTACGTTAACTGTTACATTTTCCTGCTTCTCCCAAACTTGGCATTGAGCAGGGAAGAAAAAAAAATCACAGCCTCTGGAATCCAACAGAACTGGCAAGGTGTCTGCACACGGTACATGCTCAGTAAATGATAGTTATTATTGGTCATTTAAAAAGAAATTAATGGAAGTAAAAAGAAAAGTACCTCTATAAAGATTATCCTATTGTTGGGAAAGTTAACATCTATTGAAAACTACTGACATCTGCTAGACAAACCTGGCAAACCATTTACATTTCTGTGGTATTCATGGGTGAATAAGCTATACTTGGAATTATCACCTTTAAGTCATCCAAGCTAGAAGGCAGAGGTCCCGGCTTTCTCACAGGAGCAGGTGTGTTCTGTCTTGGTGTGGTAGGTGTGGTATTGTTCAAAGCTGAATTCCCACTGTTGTTGTTTTTGTCACTGAGTGGCCTTCAAAAGAAAAAGAAAATTAGAGTTTATAATAAAATAATTTCTAGATTTGACATTTCCTCTATTAACACTTTGACTAACTTATAAAGAGAAAAATACCACGGTTATGGATTGGAAGACTCAATATTGTAAAGACGCCAACTAAATCAGATCCCAGTAAAATCCCTGCAGGTTTTTGTTTGCTTGTTTGGTGGAAATTTAGACGGCGATTTTAAGCTTTATGGAAATGCCAAGGACCAAGAATGGCCACGGCATTCTTGAAGAAAAGCAAAGCTGGAAGAGTCACACCACCAGGTGTCAATGTATATTACAAAGCCAACTGTTCCCACGGTGTGGTGCTGAGGCAAGGACAGAACAGACAAGTGGGCGAGAATGGAGAATCCGCAAACAGACCCCACGTACGTGGGCCCTCATGTTACCAAAGATATGATACTGCAGTGCAGTGGAGGAGAGTGGTCCTTCCAGTGACTGGGGCTGGGCCCAAGTGGATATTCTCACAGAAAAAACGTGGCTCTTGATCGACTCCTACCTCGCATCATTCTCCAAAATCTAAATGTGAATTATGAAAGCAATAAAGCTGTTAGAAGAAAACTTAGGATAATCGTGGCCTTTGGTTAGGCAAAGATTCCTTAAACAGGACATAAAAAGCACCAAGTAGTAGGGACCCCTTTAAGACAGTGAAAAGTCAAGCCACAGAACAGGACAAGATATCTGCGATACACATTTCTGACAAAGGCCTCATCTAGAATATTACAAGTTAGTAAGAAAAACACAGAAAACCCAATGGAAAAATGAGTTTTCCCATTTTTGGACAGATATAGCACCAGAAAGTATATCCAAATCGTCAACAATTATGTGAACAAGGGCTTAACCTCACTAGGTATGAGGAAAATGCAAATGCAAATCATGACAAAACAGCCTTGCACACCCAGTAGAATTGCTCTGACGAATAAGACTGATGATACCAAGTACTAAGGACAACCAGAACGCTCATACGCTGCTGGCAGAAGTGTGAACTGGTGCGTCCACTGGTGCGTCCACTTTTTAAAACTGTTTAATATACTAAAGAAAAACATCTGTCCTATGATCCAGCATTTCCATTCCTAGACAGACATGTGACAGAAAGACATACATATGTGTACCAAAAGATACAGACTAGAACATTCATTATGGCCCCAACTGGAAGCAACCCACCTATCCATTAAGAGTATGATGGAAGCGTACATTTATGGTACAGTCATACACGGAACATTAACCAGAGATGAAAATTAACTACTGCTATCTGCACCAATAAAGATGCATGAGACAAACAGTGTTCAGCAAAAAAAGCCAGACACTAAAGTGTGCTATAAGATTACATTTATATAAAGTTCACAAACAGGCAAAACTGATCTTTGGGGATAGAAGTCAGGATAGTCACTAAGAGCGGACCTAAAAGGGGCTTTTGGGACACTGATAATATTCCATTTCTTGGTTTGGATGGTGGGTAGAGGGGTGTATTTACTTTGGCATCAATTTTCACTTATAATTTATAGACTTCTCTGTATGTAAGTTATACTTCAATTTAAAAAGTTTATATAAAAGAAATTGGTGCATCAGTTGTCAAATTCTAAAGTCAGGTGCTTTGCACTAATTTCCCTAAGCCCCTTTCCACGTCAAAGCCAGATCCCTCCTCAACATCTTCCAGCTGTGACACTCTTGGCTTCCTTTTCTGATGGTTGATAGCTATTAAAGGTACACATGACGGTTGACACTACAGCCAATCCCATCGCAGCCTCAGGCTTCCCTGTCACATACAAAGCCTTTGGTGCTGAAGCCAAAGAGACTTGGAATTCCACCTCCTGAAATAGGGATCTGAGGTGACAATGCTCATGGGTGACAGCCAGTTGGATGAGCTTTATCCAAGAAGGTTCAGGAAGCCTGTGGTGGAAGCCAACGCTGGCTCTGTCAACAGCTCTCTTTTTTTTTTTTTTAGACAGAATCTCACTCTGTTGCCCAGGCTGGAGTGCGGTGGCATCATCATAGCTCAGTACAACCTCACACTCCTGGGCTCAAGTGATCCTCCTGCCTCAGCCTCCAGAGTAGCTGGGACCACAGGTGCAGACCATCACACACGGCTAATTTTTCCTATTTTTGGTACAGAGGGGGTCTTGCTCTTGCTCAGGCTGGTCTAGAACTGAGCTGAAGCAATTCTCCTGCCTTGGCCTCCCGCAGAGTGTTAGGATGACAGGCGTGAGCCACAACCAACACCTGTCCAACAGCTAACTTTTGACATTCATCTTGAGGTCTTTTTAACCTGCCTGAATTCTGCTGAAATTAAACATAGTTTTTGAGATGAAGTTTGGATGAAATGACAAATATTGTATATATCATTATTCTCCTTTCTAAAAATTCAACTTTTAAATCTCGTATTACGAGTTATAAAAATATTTTCTTTAAATCAATGTTTCTCAACATAATTTTCATTCATTATTATCCCCCCAAGGAGGCTTTTAGACATTTTTTTCCAAATTGCCCTCTCCCTGAAGTTTCAACACCACAGATATACTGCACGCGTCTATGTATCGTATACATGTCTGTGCTTTATTACATAAAAGAGCAGTGTATCTCTCCCGAACCACTTCGTGCTCCCTTGTAATATCATCCCTTTGAGAATGCACGATTTAAAGTAATTATTCTATTCATGCTATCTTTTTGGTTGAGATTCTACAATATTATGATTAAGAGTTTGGTGTTTAACCTATTTCTGTTAAAGACTGAATTAATCTATTTTTCTGTTAAATCAATGGAGACTAAGCTAGGGGTAGCTGACGAATGTGATCACTGTGCAGGTGAGAGACCTGAAGTTCAGAGGGATGACGTGGCCTTCCAGGACCTTCCGTGCCCTTTCAGTGAGCGCGGACAAACTGGGTTTGACTAGAGCCTAGTCTCTTCAGGCTTTTGTCCGTCCGTGGTATCAAAGGCTGCACCATACAGGTAAAATCCCACTCCTACGGACACTATAGGACTTTCAGTTTCCTGGAATTTTGGTGAAGTTAAACAATGTGTTAGAAAACAAGGTCTCCGTTTTTAGGATCTGGAAATCAAACAGGACTCATGTTCAGTCTTCGTGAGGTGAAACAATACCCAAAAGTGAGTGTTCTCGTCTCCTACTAGTTCCTGGATCTTTTTGTATGATACTGCCCTTGGGTGGGCTTGGTTATTGTAGCGGTGGGAATGTCTGAAGAGCAGAGTGGAACTGAGGCCTTAATGGAAGACAAATTGTTAGGAGTTCAGCTGCTGCACTCCTCAGGTGTGTTCTTCCCATCTACAAGGATGGCCCACACAGCCAAGTTCTTCCACTACAAAAAAGACGGTTTCATAGACGGATAGCGCGAAAAATCCTTTTATGGGATTTTCAGTTGCGCAGTTTCCTCATCTGGGAACGGGGTCAACAGCAGCAATTCCTCCTGGACTTACAGTGAGGATGGCATGAGGAGTTAGGCACAGTGCCTGGTGCATTGTAAGGATAACAGTAAATAGCTCTGAGCCCGCTGTTACCGTCATTATTGTTGGTGGCCAATGCCAGAGGAGGGTGGCGGTGGAGGATGCCTCCCGGCGCCCGGACAAAGTGTCGAGTAGCGGCAGTTTGTCTCTGATTCTCTTCCAGTTCTCTGTGGCCTTCCCTGGGTCCCTTCCAACGTCAACAGTTCACTCGGGCCTGCTTGCTCTTAAAATAATAACATGCTACAGAATTCCTTCTCCTTTATCTCCATGCCCTGATTTTTAGATTTAATAAGGCCTGAATTACTAATAGGTTTAATCTTTCTTAAGATATCTGAATCCGAAGAGGAAAAAAAGGATTGATAATCATTTGCCTATGAGAAGGTGTTTCTTAACAGAGAAGCTTTTCAGTGGGTTTTGAATCCCTTTCTGCTCCTAGAAAACAGGGGCTGCCTATGGCGGATGCTGAGTTTACACGTGAAAACACAAGTTTCTACAGGCACATGAGCATAAACCGCACGGCTTGATCACGGAGAACAATTTTTCCTTGTAATGACCGAGCTTTTGCATCTTTTTCTAGAGTTGAATGCCAATTGTACTTTCTCCTGAAAAGTTAGGGAAATTATATGTTTCTTAGAAAAAGAAATATTGGGGGTGGATATCTAGAAATTTCCTTCATTACATAATTACAATTAGCTATGGATGTCTTGCTATGACTTTGGTCTCAGGAACTATCAGAACTCACGGCCTTCTGTCCCTCACAGTTGGGTTCAAACTTTGGAAGCATCTTCCTTGTCCACAGCTGCTGGTCCCCGAGAATTCAACTGTCTGTGGAAACACCCTCTGCACGGTCAGCGCCCTTCCGTCGTCGCATCCGTCGACACCAGGATATAACTTTCTCTCCTGCGTGTCGGCCTCACTGTGTAGCACTGCCCTCTGCCACAGCGAGGAACGTCTTCTGCTCAACCGCAGGTACCTCCAGACACCGGCTCTACTCAGTTTTGTCTTCCACTTGTCTTAAAAACAAATTGCATTTTCTGCTCAGGAGATTTTTCTCACCGTCCAGTACACAGGCCCCTGCTTACTCCTTCCTCTGCACTAGCGCTCGCGTCGCTGCCCTGTGCTGGGAAGGGCCTTCCCCAGATAAATATCCTGCCTCTCCTTGACCATTCCAGGTTTTATGCCCACCTGTCTCTTCTTTTTAGCGTTACGCCAGGCCTTACACGCTGTATGCTTATCTAGAGCATCTAATACTGTTTTGAGTACACAACAGGCAAATCTTTCCAGGGTGAATAACTGTGAAAAGGCATTGCTAACTTGTAAAAGTTCAGAACCTATTCTGGAGGACAGAAACAAAATGAAAATAATCATTGAGCAGAAATAAATCACAACATCCAACCTTCAGTAATTTACGGTTCCTCATAAAAAACCCTAGTGCAGCCAGCAGTGACTCCCTCCCCCCGCCACCCGTACTTGAACGGCGCAGGCAGGATGGTCTGGTAGTTGTAGTGCTGCTTCTGCTGGCTCAGGATCTGCAGCTGCAGGAACAGTTGCTGCTGCTGGAGCAGGCGGGCGTAGTTGGAGTCCATCTGCGGCTCGTTCTTCTCCCCTTTCTGATCTGGTGGAATGTATTGGTGGTACTTCAACTTCTTCACCCGTGGTTTGGGATCTTTGCACTTTTTGCTACGGTGCTTGTCGTTTGGATTCTTGGGATGGCTTTGCTATTTTTGAGAAAAAGAAAATAAGAGCATTTAAAGAGATGTCACCACATGAAGTCTATTCTGTGTGCCTAAATGATTTGAAATTAAAAAGCAATGTACCTTAGAAACAGGTACAGACACTTTGGAAAGCAACGTGCTAAATACATTTCAAGAGCCATGGCAAGCCTGAGCAAGAGCGAGGTTTTATCTCTACAAATAATAGACAAATTGGCTGGGCGTGGTGGTGCGTGCCTGTAGTCCCAGTTTCTTGGGAAGCTGAGGCAGGAGGATCACTTGAGCCCAAGTAGTTCAAGGTTACAGTGAGCTATGATGAGGCCACTGTACTCTAGCCTGGGTGACAGAGCAAGACCCTGTCTCAAAAAAAAAAAAAAAAGGCACCATGACATCTGCATATTTACTTTGACTGGGACATTTTCCCCTGCAGGGTTGCTCCCTTAGGGTATGGGCAGGATGCTCCGCCCAGCATTATCTATTCAAACTCGGCAAACATTCACCTTGGGTCTCTGTGCAGACACACTGCCAAGCGCTTACATAGATTATCTCATAGTGATAATATACAATGGGGAAGAGATTAAGTATACTTCACTATAACCATGTA